TCCCTTTAAGGACTCATTGGTTGAACATTTGGCAAAGAACAATTTGATTTTTAATTCTCAATACGGTTTTATGGCCAAAAAATCATGTCTTACCAATTTGCTTGAATATTTGGAAAAAGTTTATGAATACATTGATCAAGGACGTTCAGTTGATGTGATATATTTAGACTTTGCAAAGGCATTTGACAAAGTGCCTCACGCTAGGTTATCTTCCGTACTCCAAGCTCATGGAGTAGCAGGAGAAGCTGTTAAATGGATTAACAACTGGCTCGAAGGGAGACAACAGAGAGTTGTGTTGAACGGAGAAAAGTCAGAATGGCTACCAGTAACTTCAGGAGTACCCCAGGGGCAGTGATTGGTCCGATCCTTTCCGTTATTTTCATTAATCCACTGGACAGAATAATTGATCAGTTGACTACGATACTGTCCAAATTTGATGATGACACGAAAGCTGGAAGGGTGATTAATTGTGAAAATGATAGAGATCTACTGCAGAATGCGATAGATATTCTATTGAAATGGTCTTAGGAATGGTTAATGGTTTTTAATGCCAGTAAGTGCAAAGTGATTCATTTTGGTAAAAATAATCCCAAGTATTCATATACCATGGAAGGTTTTGCTCCAGGAGGAACTGTTCTTGAGTCTTCAAAGGAGGAGAAGGATATAGGAGTTATTATCTCAGATTCTCTTAAACCTTCTTCTCAATGTGCAGTTGCAGCTAGAAAGGCTAACCAAGTTCTGGGACGAATGTCAAGATCATTCCATTACAGGGACAGGTTCACTTAGATCAAATTGTACAAGGTATATGTTCGACCCCACCTTGAGTATGCAGTGCAAGCATGTTCCTCATGGACACAAGAAGATATTAATCTACTGGAGAATGTGCAACGCAGAGCTCTAAGAATGACGTCAGGTCTGGCAGGTCAAACATATGAGGAAAGATTGATTGAGGTTGGTTTAACCTCTCTAGATGCCAGACGACTTCGTGGTGATTTAATACAGACCTGGATAATTCTACATGGATATGATAATGTTGATAAATCTTCTTGGTTCAGCAGAACATGCGAGACAGCGAATAGACTGACAAGACAAGACAACTGCAGTTTCAATTTAAATGTAAAGCAATTCAATTCTAACGTGAGAAAAAACTCTTTTTCTGTGAGAGTTTTAAACCCATGGAACAGTTTGCCAGACTATATTAAAGAGTCTAAAACCTTAAACATTTTCAAGAACAGTTACGATGATCATGTGAAAAATGTCGAGCATATATAGTGAAAAATATCAAGTTTAAGAATCGCTTTTTATTACCAAAAATGGTATCTAAGCGAAACCAGAACAATATATAACAATATATATATTATATATTGTATATTGTATATTGTGTATTGTGTATTGTGTATTGTGTATTGTGTATTGTGTATTGTGTATTGTGTATTGTGTATTGTAAAATTTCCTGCCTCAAGTTTTGTTTATTTTCTCTGTTAACATTTAAATTGGAAAAATAAACTTGAAATTATGATTTCGTCTTCCTTTTCTGTTAAAGATATCCTCCAAAACTGCTGACAATTCAAAAACAATAGCTTTCTTCTTAAATAGTTAAATAGATTTGTAAGAGTAAAAGAAGGAGGAATTCCAAAGATAATTTACGAAAACGAAGAGTATTATAAAAATCTACGGTCGCAAGCATATTAACCTTTTGGTTTCTAGTTTATATTCTAAATCTTGGTCACGAAAGAATTAAATGCCTTAACCTAACATAACCCCACATATCGGCTATGACTTTGACATTTTGATAAATATGGCTACACCGCTCGGCCCAGTAAATTGTCTTAACCTAATCTTGTGTATCCGACCTACAAAAGTTGTGCATTTCAACCAAAAAAATCTGTGCATCCGACCTACAAAAGTAGCGCATCCGACCTACAAAATCTGTGCATCCGACCTACAAAAGTTGTGCATCCGGAACATCGATCCTTATGGTAGCACTGTCAACTACATATCTGACTATATCTGCAGTTCCTGCATATGTTGGATTAACAAAATAGAATGTACTTCCGACCTACAGCTGTCGTTGGACCGATGTTGTGAAGATCCGAAGGACTGATCAGTACTGTAGGACAGAAATTCCGTAGAACAGAAGGAATATTACCGGGATTTTAAATACAACTTGAAAATCATATTTTATTTCCTATATTTAGTAAATAACAAAAAGTAATTGTGCAAAAAATGTTCAAATTTTGAGCTTCCTTCTTTGCGTGTTATTACCTTTACCTCTACAGTCCCTTTACAGACAGACCTTTACCTCTACAGTCCCTTTACAGACAGACCTTTACCTCTACAGTTAGGGTTGTTAATCGTTTTTGTAAACGATCGTTTTTTGTTTCGTTTTCAAAAACGATCGTTTCGTTTTCAGAAAAAAAACGATCGTTTTTAAAAACGACCCACTCGTTTTGAACTTTTAGAAAACGAATAGCGATCGTTTTTTAAAACGATCGTTTTTATTAAAACGATTTGCGATCGTTTATTATACGATTGTTTTTAAAAAAACGATCGTTTTTGAAATTTTTTTTATTGACAATTATGTTAACGATCGTTAACGAAGGGTCGTCGTTAACGAAGGGTCGTCGTTAACGATCGTTAACGAAAGGTCGTCGTTAACGATCGTTAACGAAGGGTTGTCGTTAACGATCGTTAACGAAGGGTCGTCGTTAACGATCGTTAACAAAACGATCGTTTTTAAAACGACCATTTTAAAAAAAACGAACTTTTTAAAAAAAACGATCGTTTCGTTTTTGATTTTTCGTCGTCGTTATAATAACGAAACGATCGTTTTTCTAAAAAATGAAAACGTTAACATCCCTATCTACAGTTCCTTTACAGACAGACCTTTACCTCTACAGTCCCTTTACAGACCGACCTTTACCTCTACAGTCCCTTTACAGACAGATCTTTATCTCTACAGCCCCTTTACAGACAGATCTTTACCTCCACAGTCCCTTTACAGACAGATCTTTACCTCCACAGTCCCTTTACAGACAGAACTTTACCTCTACAGTCCCTTTACAGACAGAACTTTACCTCTACAGTCCTTTTACAGACAGAACTTTACCTCTACAGTCCCTTTACATACATACCTTTACCTCTACAGTACCTTTACATACATACCTTTACCTCTACAGTCCCTTTACAGACCGACCTTTACCTCTACAGTCCCTTTACAGACAGATATTTACCTCTACAGTCCCTTTACAGACAGATCTTTACCTCTACAGTCCCTTTACAGACATAACTTTACCTCTACAGTACCTTTACAGACAGATCTTTACCTCTACAGTCCCTTTACAGACAGATATTTACCTCTACAGTCCCTTTAAAGACAGACCTTTGCATCCACAGTTCGCTACAGACAGATCTTTACCTCTACAGTCCCTTTACAGACAGAACTTTATCTCTACAGTCCCTTTACAGACAGAACTTTACCTCTACAGTCCCTTTACAGACAGATCTTTAACTCTATAGTCCCTTTAAAGACAGACCTTTACCTCTGCAGTACCTTTACAGACAGATCTTTACCTCTACAGTCCTTTTACAGACAGATATTTACCTCTACAGTCCCTTTACAGACATAAATTTACCTCTACAGTCCCTTTACAGACAGAACTTTACCTCTACAGTCCCTTCACATACAGACCTTTGCCTCTACAGTACCTTTACATACAGAACTTTACCTCTAAAGTACCTTTACAGACAGAACTTTACCTCTACAGTCCCTTTACAGAAAGATCTTTACCTCTACAGTCCCTTTACAGACAGATCTTTACCTCTACAGTCCCTTTACAGACAGACCTTTGCAGCTAATATGTTTTTAAACCCTTTCCTTCCCACGAAACATGACAATTTGTGAATAGATTTGAATATCTTCTTCACTAACTGTATTAGATATTAAAGACTTTTTCCCGTTAACTTCTTTAAAAATATTTGACTCATAAATATTTTACTTGTAAAAATTGTAATCTATAATTTTTATAAAATATTTTTTCATAATTATGGAAGAAGACATTTTAAACTATTCACCAACTGTCATGCTGCGTGAGACACCCTGTGCAGTCTATATATATTTATACAAGGCTTTTAGGGCACTTCGCGCCCATCTTTTATTTAAGTTGTGAACATGTTCTTTTTGTTTACATTTTAAAACAAAGAACAAAATTTTGCGGATTTTTAAAACAAAAATCGCGGATTTTCAAGAATTCAATTTTTTTTACAAAATTAAAAACCTTTTAAAAGACATTTTTTTATCATTCATAAACCTTTCCTGTGGTCACGTGATGTCCCACAAAAAATTTGGGCCCGATCAGTTCAGCCGTTTTGACGTTTATTGGATACAAACAAACAGACACCCAAACAGACAAGCCAAATTTACATTTACTAGCCTCTTCTAAATTAATTCTGAACATGTTCTCTTTGTGTACATCGTAAAACAAAACAAAAATAATTTGCGGATTTTCACAATAATTTCGTGGATTTTTAAAATTTTCAAAAATTTGATGAAAATCGAATTTTGATGGAGACACATATTTAAAATTTTGATCATTAATAAACCTTCCCTGTGGGCACGTGATGTCCCACAAAAAATTTGGGCCCGATCGGTTCAGCCGTTTTGACGTTTATTGGATACAAACAGACAGACAGACAAGCCAAACTTATAGATAGAAGATATAAAGTTGTAATCTTTGTTTGTCCGATAGATAATATAAAGATAATAAATAGATAATATATAGATAATTAAAATAGATAATATATAGATAATAACTAGATAATAAATAGATAACTAGATAATATATAGATAATATATAGATAATATATAGATGATAAATAGATAATATATAGATAATATATAGATAATATATAGATGATAAATAGATAACATATATAGCTAATATTTAGATAATAAATAATGATATATAGGTAATATATAGATAAGGGAAGACGACAATAAATAAAGCAGTAATAAATATATTAATCTTTAAATCATAAATAAATATTTAAATTTTGCAAAGTACAAAAAATGATGTGTAGTACTACCCAAATTGATGTGTAGTTCAATATTTATGCTTATTGTGTAGTACAACTCAAAATTTGTTCAATTCTCCAACATTTTCAGAAATTATCAGGGTGACACAATGGAAGATATAAAACACACTTAAGAATTGATTTTTTAGCGACACTTTCTGTTTCTACATCTTATTTTTATTTAATAGTTTTAAAAACGCGCTTTCAATTTCACCAATATTTACAATTACAATAAATATGGAAGAAGAGATAAAGGACAATGACTAATAAGGCACTTTGAATCTTATAAATCTACAAAAAAAAATATAATTTTATTTTGGCCCCTTTCCCCTTTTCTTTTAATCACAAAAATATGAATATTTGATACATATTTATTTTGTTCAAATCCAAGATGTTTTCACTTATTTCTCACTGGGTTATATCCGATTTTGATAATAAGGACTTGCAGTGTGTACGCAGAACTCTTGGCGGATTTCTAAATCTAATTGATTGATTGATTTATTTGTTAGCTAGATCTGAACCCAGGTGTATAGCTGAGGGTCCGAGGGACAGAGTTCAAAAATCTAAATGAATAAAATTTAAAGCCAATTTTCTATCAAGGGACTGTGTGTATAATTTCAAGTGATGCGAAGATGCCAATGCCATATTAAATAACAATGCCCTTTACACCTTACACCTCTAATAAATAATGTGGAAGAAAACTTAGCTTTTCTATTTTATTTTTTAAAGTGTTGCTTTATGACAATTCCTCAAAGTTTTATTGCAGTAGAAATGCGCAAGTCACTTTTGTAGAGAAAACACAATTTAAAATAATAAATTTTCAAAATAAATAATATTGTTATCTATTTCGTACTTGACCACTATAAAGACAAAGCTGTACAGGGTACCATAGTGAATCGGGCATTGCTATTTTTACATAGAGGGTCACTTGCAATTTCTATTACAGTCCTTTAAAGTATTTTATTTGATTATTAGGCAGGATGTATTTAAAAATAGTACATAACTTTATATAGGTACAGTACACTAATAATTTATTGGATATTTTAAATTCACAAGAAACAAGAGACAAAAAACAGAAGTAACAACCAAATTTGAGATAAAAGAACAGAAATAGCAACCAATTTTTTCTAATATACCTACCTGAGAATGAGATATGTATTTGCCTGGAGCTAGAATATCTAAACCCTGAGCTCCTCCCTGGATCCTACCTGAGATATGAACTACAGGACTTGTATAATCCTGGAGCTAGAATATCTAAACCCTGACTACTACCTCCACTCAAAGATCTAAAATGAATTAGTCGTATTTCAAAATTCTAGATTTCAAAAACAATGTTTTTAACATTCAATAAGGTGTTTGCAGTTTTCCCTCTATGAAAATTTAAAAAAAATCAAGAATATGTTTTGATTAAACAAAAATTAAAAACTACCTGCAATAACTTACAACTGCTTGAAATATTTGCTCCTCTGAACAATGCCTAAAAAATTGTCAATTTTATTGTTCAAACAATCTTCAAGTGTAAAACTGTAGAAGATAGACTTCTTATCAACTCTTAAACTGCAAATTCTAGTTATCCAAACATATAAATCCCCGAAAAAGAGAGTTCACAAGAAAATCTAGTAGTTTTTTTAACTAGCAATGGAGCAATTAACTTTAATAATTTATTTTAATTAAATTTTACAATATTTTTAAATTTCAATATGATATCAGATGGAAACATTTTGAGACTTCTATATTTCTTGTTTTTCATTCTTCCTTCTTGATCTTCCATTCCTTGTCCATCCTTCAATCATACTTTGGCTAATTTTGAAAATAAAAATAAATGAATTATTTGGATGTTTTCTGCAGCTAGCCGAATTGCAGAGGCAGAACTGTTTTTTGAAGCCCTGTATCTATATTCTTTATATTGAGAGTGGCAAGGTTACTCTCCCCCTTGTTTATATTTAAATTTTGCTTCAGTCATAATACTGTGTCGCGTCAGCTCCTGCATTCCTAGCTTTTCTTGATGGAGGGTGAGAGGGGTGAGGGGGGCATTTTACACATTTTCCAGTTTTTTTTATCTCGAGTAGGACATAGAGGGGGGGATGGGACGTCTGCCATCCAGTGTATTTGTCTTTATTCGTTATCGGTGAAAAAAAATAGATAATGTAAAGCTCAAATCCCCTTCTAATTTTTCCTGTTCAAAGTTTTCTTCTTCTTTCTTGTTTATCTTGCTTTAAGCACCCATCTCTAATGTCAAGAGATTTCCCTTCGACTTTTTTTCTGTTCAATTTATTTTTTCTTCTTGCTTCTTGTTTCTTGTTTTTACACTGTAAGGCCTTTCCAAATAGTTCTTTTAACATCGAGTTGTGGAGCAGGTAGGAGAGAGATAAGGAGGTTTGTAGGAAGAAGGGTATAGGGGATTTCTCCCTGTGTTCCTTCATTTTATACTGTTTCCCAGTTAGGGGAATTAAGGAATTTACCCGTAACTGCACCCCATATGCAAAATGGGGAGTTGTGATCCCTGAAAGCTCTATTGAGAGGTATCTTCCATGGCAGTCCAGTCCTCACATCTGGTCGAGTAAAAAACCGGTATCGTTGTGCATGGCTTGTATTCATCTTTCAGTGAACCAAGCTGAAGATGAAGTTTTGTTTTAATCTATGTACATTGTACAATTCTTGCTTCCAATGTAGGATAATAGATGCGTAACTAAACACAGTGCTTCCCCAGCTGCAATTCTGGGACTACATAGTAGGTCCGTTCTGCTTGAGAGAAAGCAGGCAATGGAGCAATTAGATAAAAAAATAATTGGCTTAGAAAATTTCCCTCTTCAGTGGTTAAAATATTTTAAAAATTTAAAATGAAACTTTTTTCCATTAAGTTAAAAGTTTAAAAACGCGACATAAATAAATGTACACTGTCAAAATATTATTTCACGAGCCGGCTAACCTGTCTTTTTTAATCAGAAATCCTTCTAGAGAAATTAATTTTTGGGCATAAAAAATACAGTATAAAAAATATAACTATTTTTCAAAAATTACCTAAATCTTGAGTTAAGAAGAGCTGAACCGAGTTTATCTAGATTCCATTGTTTGAGGTAGAGATTTAGAGAACAGGTTCCACTTATACTAAACAATATAGAGATTTAGAGACCCGGTTTCACTCATACAAAACAACATAGATTTAGAGAACCGGTTCCACTCGTATTAAGCAATAAAGATTTAGAAATCCAGTTCCACTTATACTAAACAACAGAGATTTAGAGAACCGGTTCCACTCATACTTAACAACAAAGATTTAGAGAACCGGTTCCACTTGTATTAAAAAACACAGAGATTTAGAGAACCGGTTCCACTCATACTAAACAATATGGAGATTTACAGAACCGGTTCCACTCATATTAAACAAGAGATTTAGAGAACCGGTTCCACACATACTAAACAATATAGAGGTTTAGAGATCCAGTTCCACTCATACTAAACATTATAGAGATATAGAGAACAGGTTCCACTCATACTTAACAATATCAATGAACCAGTTCCACTCATACTTAACAATAGCAATAACAATGAACCGGTTCCACTCTTACTGAACAACAATTAATATAAATATGGATATAATTTAGTATTTGACAATTAAGGACAATTAATGACAACATAAACAATATTTGACAGCTCATCACAACTAAACAACAAATTTGAAATGAAAAGTTATGGCCATTTTTCGACAAATAAAAATTCATGATACACTAACAAAATAAAACGGAAGTAACTCATAGGAATCAGAGTAATATCTTAATATAATATTTTTGTATAAGACTTAAACATGCGAAATAGAAAATAGAGACCAAATAAATAAAAATTAAAAAATTAAAAAAATAAAAATAAAAATATTAATAAAATGTAGGTCAAATAAATATAAAAAGTAGAAACTAGAGAATATAAATAAATACCTGAACCAGCCAAAGTTCTCTAGAATGAGATTGTCGAGAAAGGATTCTAGAATCTTCATGTAAAATTGTCTAAATACAAAAATAAGATATGAATTCAACGAAGGAATTGGGGTTTCTGTAAAATAAAAAAAGAAAAAAGGCTTTTATCAAGTAAAAAAGACGACAAAAACTATCTTGAGTTAACTCAACATTTTTAAACATTTTGTTTCCATGTTAATTTTTTAAAATTTCGAATATTTAGTAAATCATCTTTTTCTGTTTCTTAAACCCTTAACAGGCTGGGGAGGGGGCACCCCCCGTGTAGTTTTTTATATTCTAGCACTTTCATTTTTGACACTACCACCGTAAAACTTTGTGACTTTTAATGAATAGTAATTAAAAGGATTTTTTGTTAATTTTTTTTTTAATTTTTAGGGTAGGGTATAGGGCGGAAAAAAGTCCGGTCTCTGAAAAGAATCTAAAATAGCCCATAACTTTGTTGTGACTAAAGCTACAGATCTAAAAACTATATTTTAGAAAAGCCCTTGAAAAATGCATGTAGAAACATGTGTCACACTTTGATATCTGTTTTAAACAAAAAAAATATTTTTTCATTTGTTTGACCCTTTTTTCCACCCTCCCTAGCACCCAAACTATAAAAGTTATCGGTCTCATTTTTTTCTTCTTTGAGCTGGCCATGAAAAATTGGGCTGTGAGCATGCATTTCAACCCTATACCTATTCTCTAAGGCCTTTTTCTAGGGGGGGGGCCAAATGCCCCCCCCAGGCTATACATAGATTCAGACCCCCCAGCCTTTATAGGGTTTATACTTACAATTTTCTGTTCTTCTCATTATCATGTATTTTCGATATAACTTCTAACAAACCTGGACATTTTCCATAATGTTGTGAAGTTCTCCTTATGGAGAAAAACTTGACCTAGGAACAGTTCTGCATCATGTCGTACCAACTGTACATCTAAACACAAGGGATATCTTCTCTATATAATAAAGCTCTTCGCTCATATATATTTGTTAGCTATAGCTGGCCAAACGGCTGGACCAAATTGGATAAAAATTTTGAGTTAACCCCTCTGGGGGTAACATAGGCTAAAAGAATTCAAACATTTTTTTTTTAAATGTTTTTATTTAAAAGGGGAATGTCCACATTTCCATACAGAGGGTGGAGGGGAGGGTTATCTGAATTAGTTTTTAGAGATTTCTCTCTGATTTGTTGCATGCAGGCCTGATTTGGAATCTAGTTTGAATAAATACTAGAATTAACTCCTATATCTTACAGGAGTTCCCTGAGAAAGTGTGATTCCTATCAGACTTCACTCTACTCTCAGTGGATTGTTTGTTAATGTATTGTAAATTTTATCATGTTCACAATAAGCTATAACCTCAGGTGAATGTCTGAATGTTTAAGATAAGATTTTCCCAAACCTCTGAGTTGACTTTGGTCAGTTTGTCTTCATCCCGGTCTACATTCCATAACAGTCTGTACCCAATCCATCCCGGTCTACATTCCATAACACTGTACCCACTCCATCCCCGTCTACATTCCATAAAAGTCTGTACCCACTCCATTCCGGTCTACATTCCACAACAGTCTGTACCCACTCCATCCCCGTCTGCATTCCATGACAGGCTGTACCCACTCCATCACTCACATCCTCTTCCCGCCCATCTTGGAGAGGAGACTGGACACAGTCCTGCAGCGTTGGAGAATATCACATATATCCGTACAGGTAGGACTATGTGATATATACCTACCTCATATTTAAGTCCTATAAAGCATCATTTCATTCTTGCGTACTAAAAGTATATAGTCAATAGGACTCAGTCCCAAAAGTAGATAGAATTGACTCGAACAGTGCATCCTGATCAACACTGCAATGGTCGGCAGCTCCCAGCTTAACATGGCTCAAAACTGGCTCATAAAAATTCAAAATTCCAAACCCTTCAGCCGAAAAAAATCCTTTCTCGTCTCTTTTACACTTTCCTAAAATGATATAGTTTATAAATTCCCTCACTTTTCGCGCGTTTTATGGAAATTTCAAAAACTTTGTGTTAGGTTCATATGTGGGGTGTTAAAATTTATTAACTTTAGGTCTGGACTCTAAAATGCATTTCCCCCTTTCCTTGTACCATTCCCTCCCCCTTTCCTTATACCATTCCCTCCCCCTTTCCTTATACCATTCTCTCCTCCTTTCCTTATACCATTCCCTCCCCCATTTCTTATACCATTCCCTCCCCCTTTCCTTATACCATTCCCTCCCCCATTCCTTATACCATTCCCTACCGCTTTCCTTATACCATTCCCTCCCCCTTTGCCGCATTTTTTCCCTCCAAATTTTTTGCATTTTTTGATTTAAAAACTAGATCTCATATTAGGCCTGCATGCACAAAAATCAGAGAGAGATCTCTGAAAACGAAGTCAGAACTAGGGTTAGAAAAGGAAAAATCGTTTCGCAAAAATTTCGCTTTATTTTCGCATTTGTTTCGCTCACGAAAAAATGCGAGAATTTCAAGAAAAAAAATAGAAATTATGCAAACAAAACGAAAATTTCGCGAAAAATAAAGAATCTTTAAATACAAATGCAAAATTTTAGCGAAAAAGTTGCGAAAATTCATCAAAAAAGACAAAATTTTGAAAATACAAGACTCAATTTCAAAGAGGGATTTATCCGCGAGCCCAATTGATGAATTAACACAAAATATGAACATAGATTTAAGAAATACTAGGAGACATCAGAAAATTCATAGATTTGCTTGAAAATACTTTCTCGACCATTAAGAACTTTCACAAGTTCTTTTGAGCAATTAATTTTTGAAGCTTTAACACTAATGGTTTTCACAAAATTTTCGCACTTTCGCGAGATTCTCTCATTTTGCAATTTCGCGAAACATCGCTTCATTTATTTCGCGAAAAAATGCAAAATACTGTACAGTACATACCTAATGCATCTGCAGCAATGAATATCTGTACTGCTGTACTTGTACAAATATTCAACTGTTTAGTCTCGGAGTACAAAGCCAGGACCTGAAATAAAAAAATACAACTAGATTAGATAGGATAGATAGATAGATAGATGAATATCTCTAGAGCTAGCACATAATATTAATTACTTTTTTCAACAATATAAAGACTGGATTTGCCTTTAATGGCAAACCCTGATGTACATGTACGACATAGGATAGAAGAGGGGATGTTGTACAAGTATATATTTACAATATCTCTAAATCTGACCTTTTCATGAGTCTTCACATAACAAAACTACATATTAGGTGATAAAAATTAAACAAGTTTAAACCTTAGAGGTGGACTTGAAACCACAACGCATTGTTTTATTTTCAAAGATAGAAAAATAAGCTTGGAAAAGAAGACAATATAAAGGGCAAATATTGGACATTGTTCTTTCTCTCACGAAATAAAAATTAAACACACAAAATAAGCTTTGAAGGTGAATTTATTTAAAGAACATTGTTCAATATTCAAAGATAGATAAATACGCTTGAAAGAATGACAAATATTTATCTTTTTTTCTAAAACAATTTTGGTTTACCTTGACCGCCTCGGCGGTTAGACCCATTTCTCCTGAAGAGTCTAGAAGAAGAACTGGTTCAAGGGAATCTCGGAATCTGTGCGCAAACAATGCCTTAATCAATTAACCAATCACTTAGTCACTCAACCACTCAACCACTCAACAACTCAACCGCTCAACCACTCAACCACTCAACCACTCAACCGCTCAACCACTCAACCACTCAACCGCTCAACCACTCAACCGCTCAACCACTCAACCACTCAACCACTCAATCACTCAAATAATCAAACAGACAATCTTGACAAAGTTGAATGCAGTAGCTCTAACAGTATGAGTAGACATCTGTTAGGTTAAACTATCCTTAGCAAATTTGGATACTGTAGATAGACATGTCCGGTATAAACTAACCTTGAAAAAGTTGGATACTGTAGCTAGGCATGTCCGGTATAAACTAACCTTGAAAAAGTTGGATACTGTAGATAGACATGTCCGGTATAAACTAACCTTGAAAAAGTTGGATACTGTAGATAGACATGTCCGGTATAAACTAACCTTGAAAAAGTTGGATACTGTAGCTAGGCATGTCCGGTCTGCGGAAATCTGATGATCTTGGACAACCAGCGTAATAGATTTATCAGCAGTGACAGGTTTTCCTTTTTCAACTGTTACAGAGGAAGTTCTTGATTCATCTTTTAGACAGTCTTCTTGTGTCTCCGACAATCTTTCTTCTTTTTCTTCAATAAAGTTTAAGAATCAATTTTCTTGGAGAAAACGTGAGAACCTAGTTCATAGGTTGCCATTTTATCAGTTGATAGCACTTTTTAGCTCTTTGGTTAAATTCATTTAAAGAAAAATATGCCAGATTTTCAACAGTTTAATGAAACCTTTATCTGATCATTGATAAGGAAGAAATAGTCGTTTTTCCAGATTGAACATTTTTTTAATTTTGAAATATTTTAATTCTGACATTTTTTCTCCTATTGTCTCTGAAGAAGAAAGGTGAATGTAACTTAGTAGTCAAACCAAGTTTGAAAATATTCAATTCTTTCTGAGAAGATATCTCATGCCTTCTTGATCAGACAAAGCAGTTTTAAGAGTATACGTTGGGAATCAAACATGCCAATTATAATAGAAAATCGCTTGAAATAACTTTACAGTCCCTTTAAGATAAAAGAATAGAAAGATCTGCAAGGGAATCCTTGATTAGATATTTTGTACAGTAATATTCCTTTAGAATTATGAGGGTTAAAACATATAAAACACATCTATTAACTCCGTTATAGATCAATAATCTAAATAAATAATATACCTTCCCAATCTTCCATTCTAATTATAAATTGAGGCGTTTAGCCCCTCCCTCCCAGAAAACCACGCCCTTTAAGACAATGTAGGTCGATCCGAGACTATTTGTGCTTCTTTCGCTTCATTTTATTTTCTGAAACAAAAATTAAATAAAGATTTAGTAAATGCATAAGTTGTAAAAAAAAATACAAATAAAAATGCCTTTGCAGGTTTTGTGTTTTGGGAATAAAGATAAGAAAGAGATTAAACAAAAATCAGGGATGAAAAAATACGCAAAGATACGACTAGGAAATCCACGAATACTGAGTTTATTCCAATCCCGGCATAGTTGCCTCATCGTCGCTGTCCTCATCGTCCAAATCGTCCAATTTCGGCTTCTCACCCATTCCTCCTAAACAATTCGTCCATGATGACCTCATTCAAGTTGAAGTTGCATTCAGTAATTAGGATCTATTTCATTTTGATCCGGATCCAGAACATGAACATTTGATTTTCGACTTTTTAAACGAAAGAAAAATTTTCAAATTATTTTGCTTATTTTTATACTTAATCATAGATTAGAAAATGAAAATCTCGCTTTATTCAACATTATTTCAGAGCAAAGTATCTTAATATTTTGCCACTTGGCTCCGGCTCCGGTGATCTACATTTTTTTTTGCGGATCCGGATTCAGGAAACCAAAATGTTGCGGATCCAACATATCTACTGAGCACTGCACTGGTCGCATAAAAAAGTTTTAAATATTTTTGAGCTTGTTTTGTGTCTAATAAAGAAAATAAAAAAATCATGTTTACCAAAGTCCATTCCTCCCATACCGCCCATTCCTCCTCCAAGACCGCCCATATTTCTCATCATATCTTCTAAATCTCCACCCTAAACACAGGGGAAAAGGGATTGTTAACGTAATTAAATATTAAGTTAATTGTGGTACTTGTTAACCCTGTGAAAAATAAATAGTTTATTAATGGAAAAAATCTTGGCATTTTTCGTGTTTATCTGTATAGAAGAAGTATAGAAGAAGTATAGAAGAAGTATAGAAGAAGTATACAAGAAGTATAGAAGAAGAATAGAAGAAGAATAGAAGAAGTATAGCTAGAAGAAGTAAAGAAGAAGTATAGAAGAAGTATAGAAGAAGTATAGAAGAAGTATAGAAGAAGTACAGAAGAAGTACAGAAGGAGTATAGAAGGAGTATAGAAGAAGTATAGAAGAAGTATAGAAGAAGTATAGAAGAAGTATAGAAGAAGTATAGAAGAGGATGACAAATCTTCTGATAAGATGGTTAGGAGGGTTTCAGTAAATATATACCACTGTACCTAGGGGATTCCAGTAAATATATACCCCTGTACCTGGAAGATTCCAGTAAATATATACCCCTGTACCTGGGGGATTCTAGTAAATATATACCCCTGTACCTGGGGGATTCGTAAATATATACCCCTTTACCTGGGGGATTCTAGTAAATATATACCCCTGTACCTGGGGGATTCTAGTTAGTATATACCCCTTTACCTGGGGGATTCTAGTAAATATATACCCCTGTACCTGGGGGATTCTAGTAAATATATACTCCTGTACCTGGGGGATTCTAGTAAATATATACCCCCTGTACCTGGGGGATTCTAGTAAATATATACCCCCTGTACCTGAGGGATTCAAGTAAATATATACCCCTGTACCTGGGGGATTCAAGTAAATATATACCAGTGTACCAGGGGGATTCTAGTAAATATATACCCCTGTACCTGGGGGATTCCAGTAAATATATACCCCTGTACCTGGGGGATTCTAGTAAATATATACCAGTGTACCTGGGGGATTCTAGTAAATATATACCCCTGTACCTGGGGGATTCTAGTAAATATATACCCCTGTACCTGGGGGATTCTAGTAAATATATACCCCTTTACCTGGTGGATTCCAGTAAACATATACTCCTGTATCTGGGGGATTCCAGTAAATATATACCCCTGTACCTGGGAGATTCTAGTAAATATATACCCCTGTACCTGGTGGATTCTAGTAAATATATACTCCTGTACCTGGGGGATTCTAGTAAATATATACCCCCTGTACCTGGGGGATTCTAGTAAATATATACCCCCTGTACCTGAGGGATTCAAGTAAATATATACCCCTGTACCTGGGGGATTCAAGTAAATATATACCAGTGTACCAGGGGGATTCTAGTAAATATATACCCCTGTACCTGGGGGATTCCAGTAAATATATACCCCTGTACCTGGGGGATTCTAGTAAATATATACCAGTGTACCTGGGGGATTCTAGTATATATATACTCCTGTACCTTGTGGATTTAAATAAATATATACTCCTGTACCTGGGGGATTAAAGTAAATATATACTCCTGTACCTGGGGGATTCTAGTAAATATATACTCCTGTACCGGGGGGATTCTAGTAAATATATACCAGTGTACCTGGGGGATTCTAGTAAATATATACCCCTGTATCTGGGGGATTCCAGTAAATATATACCCCTGTATCTGGGGGATTCCAGTAAATATATACCAGTGTACCTGGGGGATTCTAGTAAATATATACCCCTGTACCTGGGGGATTCTAGTAAATATATACCCCTGTACCTGCGGGATTCTAGTAAATATATACCCCTATATCTGGGGGATTCTAGTAAACATATACCCCTGTACCTGGGGGATTCTAGTAAATATATACCCCTGTACCTGGGGGATTCTAGTAAATATATACTCATGTACCTAGGGGGATTCTAGTAAATATATACCAGTGTACCTGGGGGATTCCAGTAAATATATACTCCTGTACCTGGGGGATTCCAGTAAATATATACTCCTGTACCTGGGGGATTCCAGTAAATATATACTCATGTACCTGGGGGATTCTAGTAAATATATACCCCTATACCTGGGGGATTAAATATATACTCCTGTACCTGGGGGATTCCAGTAAATATATACTCCTGTACCTGGGGGATTCCAGTAAATATATACTCATGTACCTGGGGGATTCTAGTAAATATATACCCCTATACCTGGGGGATTCTAGTAAATATATACCACTGTACCTGAGGGATTCCAGTAAATTTATACTGTACCTGATCCTCAACATCACTATCATCCTCATCCTTCCACTTTTGGAAGTCGACCTTGAGCCAGTGCTGCTTGTTCTTGTCCTCCAGCAGACGAGGCCAGTAAGGAGCATCCTCAACCTTATAGATATAAAGATATAAATATAAATATGATTGGTTTGACGGATTTTTTGTAATTCAAAAAACGAGAGAAAATATTCTGTGGTAACTCACATGGCCCAAGGGACGGTACAAACAGTACAAAAGGTAAAAATGGTACAAACGGTACAAACGGTAAAAACGGTACAAACTGTACAAACGGTACAAACGGTAAAAATGGTACAAACAGTACAAAAGGTACAAACGGTACAAACAGTACAAACGTTATTTGGTACAAATGATACAAACAGTAAAAACAATCCTTTAAAGTTTTTTCTGATCAATAATCGTATTTTTTCTTGTTTGAAACTGTTTAATTTCCTCCATCTTGTTTAAGAAGTAGAACTCACAATACACTCTACAGTGAAACCACATTTCAAATTAATCTACTTTCTAAGAGAAAGTGATTGATACCTCGTGCAATATAAATCAAACAAAGCTATTATCTGATCAATAATGTGTAAAGTATCTGATCAATAATGTGTAAAGTATCTGATCAATAATGTGGAAAGTATCTGATCAATAAGGTGTAAAGTATCTGATCAATAATGTGGAAAGTATCTGATCAATAATGTGGAAAGTATCTGATCAATAATGTGTAAAGTATCTGATCAATAATGTGTAAAGTATCTGATCAATAATGTGGAAAGTATCTGATCAATAATGTGTAAAGTATCTGATCAATAATGTGTAAAGTATCTGATCAATAATGTGTAAAGTATCTGATCAATAATGTGTAAAGTATCTGATCAATAATGTGGAAAGTATCCCACTCTAATAAATGGGTTGTCCCTTGAAACTATGTTTACAGTTCCTTAGTTCCTTCAAGTAATATTTAAACCTACCTTTTCCAATGCAAACTCAATACAACGAGGCCTGACGGCGTATTTGACTGTATCCGGTTTTACTGATTGGTACAGTTTCATGTTGATAGCAAACTCTTTTTTTTCAGGACCACCCAATCCTCGGAACTGGAGACTGTCTTTCTCAACCTGCAAAAATAATTGTATGTAAACATATAAGTTTTCAAAAATTACAATAAACATTCTCATTCATGTTTAAACTGTACAATTGTATAAATTTCCTATTAATCTGTAATTAAAAATATAGAATATAAAAATTTCTGTGATAAGATAATTGGAACCCATAGTAGTGTAGGAGAACACAACATTTAGCCAGTCTCATGTTTATATTTGATAGGTATTCAACTTAAATATTTATATTGATCTCTGAAATAAATATATTTTTAGGTTTTAAATTATATAAATGTTTTCTCCTGTTGCCTGACATAAATGAAAAAAAAAACATTTATTCTTTAATTCATTATTTTATATTTATTTTTATTGTCGCAGCATTGATTATGGAGTATGGACTATATTTATGTAAACTATATAAGAGCTGGTTTGTTAAATTACAGTTAGATTAACTGAATTAGCCTAAACTTAATACAAACGTTTAAAAACTTTCTATTTGTCAGTCTTTCGTAAAAACAATGTCGATTGTTTTGTTTCTTACACTGCAGTGGTAGTTGGTTTACCTTTATATCTGGATTGATACAGTCACTCACATTAATTGTTATTAAAACAAGATTGGGTCGCTGAGCCCACATAACACTTGGGGTAGCTGCAGACATATTCTTTCTCTAAATAGATACGTATATAATTTACTGTTACAGAAACATTCTTGAAATTTAAGCAAATATAATTAGGGTCCGTCCTAGTATGCGATTTTTGTACCCCCTCTCCTATTAGTTATGTACATGGCCACTAATTTTCAGCAAAATTTTAGGCTTAGGCTAGGGGCCAAGCGCTGCGGCTAGGACAGGCGAGGGGGCCGAGTGCTGCAGCTAGGACATACTAGGGGGCTGAGCGCTGCGGGTATTAGTTCAAATGAATATAAAAATAGTTCAATGAACCAAAAAAAGTCTAAAAATTGTTTTGTTACTGTAAATAATACTTCATTCAGACTCGTGAATTTATTTGAATTTTTAAGTTCATTTGAACTAATTTTTTGTTTATTTGAACTATTTTAGTGTTTATTTGAACTTTTTTATGTTGGTTTGAACTATTTTTTTTGTTCATTTAAACTATTTTTTTTTGTTCATTTTAAACTGATTAACATGTTTATATAATATATAAATAAATAATATCAAACACAAAAAAACATCGCAATGAATTATTTATCTTTAATCTTTTCAGCTTTTCATGCCTAATTATTGGCATCTTAAATCAGAAATTTGTGAATTTTTATTCACGGTTGTCGGTGGGTGGCTTTCATTTTCTCTAGAAAATTCTGTTCTGTCTGCTTTAAGTACACAAGGGCGTTAAGTTGATGGAGTTAGTCTATACGCAGTTTTCATGTTTTTAAAGACTCTACACAGTCTTATGTCGTCTTCAGTAAGCTGTAAAATATAATTTTAACATTTTGAAGGAACGAAATTATTTAACTTTTAGTATTGTGTATTGTTGGTGGAATTTAGTGGAAAATCATAAATATAATTTTAATACAAGAAATTAAACAATTATTTTTTTGTACTCATTTTAGGGAAACACGTCGTCTTAGTCCATGAAATTTGGAATTTGTAAATTCCAAATTGACAGAAATATATTGATATTGGGGGAACATAGAACATACGTCACATTCAGGGGCATATTTAATTATTAGAGTGCTCTGGGGGTTAATGCTGGTTTTTGGGCCCCAAGGGTTTTTCGGGCCCCCCCCCCCTCCCGAAAGAATTATACCCCCTTGTTAAGTATCCATGATACGCTCCTGGTAAGTGGTAATATTAGCATATTATGTTAGGTGATTGCACTGATCAAGACATAAAGATTTCTAATAAAACAAATAGAAATTTTATACGTAATCGTATGATATAGCGCCGGCCTCACATTAAGCAGGTAGAATATTTTTTTAAATCAATAAATTCCTCAACATGGATTTAATCTCAAATTTACGTTCTACCTGCAGGGGAAACTCTATTATACTTTGATATTTCATTTAGTAGATATTTGAACATATAATTCTCAAAGTATATAGAGATGAATTATAATTGTTTAAGTGACTCTCCATAATTATAGAGTGACACAAGTCCATTCACAACGGTACCCTGAAAGCTAGTTGTCTGATCAAGTCTTTGAATTTTAAAATATCCATTTTTTAGTTTTCAAACTAATTATTTTCAATTGTGGTTTCTTGACAAGTGTAATTTTCGCAAATGTCTGCTTCAGGAACAGTAAGTAAATGACAAATTTAAACAATATTTGTTGTATGTTATAGATAAGAGGTACCATTGTGAATCGGGCATGCCCCTCTTTTTTTTTAAATCGAGGGTAACTTGAAAATTACAACGGTAGTCTCTTAATAAAATATTTTGAATTAAGAATTATGAACGGAAGTGAGAGCGGATATGAAACTTCAGGAGGAGAAGTCTTGGAACCCATCAACAGAAGAAAAGAAAGACAAGAGGTAAAATTACAATTCATTTTTGTAAGAAAACCCTTGTTTCACTAAACATGACAAATTAAAGGCGACTAAACCAATTTTCAATCAGATTGCATGTATAAAAACAGATCCATTTATCTAATATTATTATATTAGTTTGGATTGCATAAGTTATATATTGCATGTATAAAAACAGATCCATTTATCTAATATTATTATATTAGTTTGGATTGCATAAGTTATATATTACATGTATAAAAACAGATCCATTTATCTAATATTATTATATTAGNAAGGAAGGACAGGAAGAAGGAAGGACAGGAAGGACAGGAAGGAGAGGAAGGACAGGAAGGAAAGGAAGGACAGGAAGGACAGGAAGAACAGAAAGGACAGAAAGGACAGGAAGGAGAGGAAGGAGAGGAAGTACAGGAAGAACAGAAAGGACAGGAAGAACAGGAAGGACAGGAAGGAGAGGAAGGAGAGAAAGTACAGGAAGGACAGGAAGAAGGAAGGGCAGGAAAGACAGAAAGCAACAGTAGAGCTAGAGAAAGACAAGAAAAAAAGCATAAAGGATTAAGAGCAAGGACTAAAATTATTATTTTCAGGAACCTGTTTTCCTACATTGATCGGTATGACACGCAAAATATAGAGATGGAAACTAAATTTATTCCGTTCATTCCGGAATATATTCCTTCCGTTGGAGATACAGACCCATTTATCAAGGTCAAATCATATTATAATCAAAGAAATAATTTTTATGTAATTATGTCCAATCTTACTTAGGGCTGGGCAACATACTGTGTTAACAAACAACAGGTTTTGAAAAAATTAACAGAAACCCCTGCCATTAATATACAAATTGTTAGTGAACAAAATAAACCGTTCTTGTAAAAGGAAGGTAACTATGTAATAATAAATAAGATTGATTTTTAGGTTTTAATGCCAGATAATGCTGATGATAAGATAGGTCTCAAGCTGGTTGATGAACCGTCTTCCAATCAATCTGAACCTGCCATTCTCCAACTACAACTCAGGTAAGGTTTCCATGTTATTATTGAACGAATTGATCTTGATATCCAATGCGGCACTTTTAAATTTGAGAATAAATGCTTGAGGTCTCAATAAAATTTATCCCTGCAAGCCTTAAGACCAGTTTTGAACTTTGCATAAGAAGGAGATAAATGTTTGCAATCCCCATGTTCTTAAAACAAAAGTTTTGACTTCAGGATAAATTAATTAATGACAGAAATGTCTTGCGAAATCTTTCCTAAGGATATTAAGAAAGACTTTGAGCAATAAACACTAAACAGTTTTGTAAGACATATACATGTATGATCTTTAAAAAATACCCGGAGAAAATAAGATTAATTGAAACTTACACAGATAGAGATGTCAACGTTTTGATTTTTCTAGATTTTAGCTTTCGTTACGTTAATGTTCATCAAAAGTATTAACGTTAGAAACGTTACGTTGCACATTATGAAATTTTATGGCATAGAGTAACGTTACGTAATGAATTTTCTGCACTTGAATACCTTATAAAACGTTAAGCTTTAGTAAATGTTAGTGAAAAACAGTAAGCTCCGTTACACTGTTGCATTTCCCGTTTTAAAAAACTTTCCCAACGTTGCGTTAAACGGTTAAAGCTTATGTAATATAACCACAATTTTTTAACGTTCCACTTTCATGCAAGGTAAATATTTGAATTGACCTTACGTTACACTAAAATGCACCTTTTCTTACGTTACGATTTATCGAAACGTTATTGTGAAAACTTTTTTGTTACACTTTTTACAACTGACCATCAAAAGTGTTTATTCGGTTCGTTTCTAAGAAAGATTTGAAAAAATGTTCTATACAAAAAAACTCATCAAAAACATTAAAAAGTTTAAAAACCGGAATTTAGTACCGTTGATTGGCCATCACTTCTTTAGATTTTAATTTAAAAATGGTTTTCGAATCTGAATTCAGCATGAAATTTCCAAGAAAAAGATGTATCCTATTTATTTTTTTAAATATTTTTTTAGGCCTTACGGCGATATCTCCAATATTAAATTGTCAATTCGCAACCCTATGAAAAATTTTGAAATTTTTTTTTATTACAATATTTTTATTAATTTAAAACGCAGCGACCTCAGGTGGGAGGCTGGCTGAGTTCTAAAAAAAGTCACAAATCAATCGCCCTTAATGTCCAGCATACATTACAAGATAGGAAAACACTCCTAATTTTCAAATCATCAATTAGAAAAAGGTATACGTACGTTATCATTGGGAATCAAACATGGCCCTCTTTAAATGGAGGATCACTTGAAATTATCATTGAAACCACTTTTGCATGTGGAACAGTAGTTCAAATATAGTAAGACAAGTGCTAAAGTTTTTTTTAACACAAACAACGCGAAATAAAATTATTTAACATTTTTTTCCTTAAAAAAATGGATTAAAAAATCAGTTTTTTTCTATTCTAAAGTTTCATAAAAATCTATTGATGAATAAAACATAACATGCATTTTCCATTTGATAAGATATTGTTGTATTTTAGTAAGTATCTACATTTCTAAATTTTTCAACCTAAAACATGAACCATGCCAACTGAAGTTATGATTTTAAGTAGTCAAATAAACATGAAACCCAGAAATTGTGTTTGTTCACAGACCCGTTCCACTTAATAAGTTGATTTTTTTGCAATTAGTAAATCATTTGCTTTATAACAGAAGATGCATATGTAAAATTTCTTAATTTCGTCTTCCTTTTCCAGAGTTTTAGTGGATTTCATCAAACAATGGCAAATCAAAAACCTTTAATGTCCAAGATACATTTATAAGATTTGAATTTTCACTAATAGCATGTTACAAAAAACTCGTTTACACTTTAGAAAGGAACTAAGTTTTTTTTTCAAATTTACTAATCCCTATATCTTTCCAACCAGACGGTTTAAACCTTGTATATTTCAATATTAATGGTCTACGACATCGGGTTGCAAAGATATATTAAATGAAAATTTGAGTTTTTGGCATAAACTCATTTTCTTTAAACTTGAAATGAAAAACCGTTAGTCTTTGCTGTCATAATCATCAGTCGAATCTCTTACATTGATATATTAGAGACGATTGGCAGAATTATTGTTACACTTTTGAAATTAAAACTCAGCCCTCATAGTCTAATTTCTGCAACATTGAATTTTTCATTATACTATAAGGGAAAACGTTTCAAAACGTTGCATTTTTCAGTTATACAACGTTACACTTTTTATAAGTTGAACTTGAAATAGAAATCTTTTCGTTACGATATTCAATCAAATCACAATTAATTTTTCAAACGTTAGACTTTCAAACTACCCTTGGAGACAAAACATTTCTTCACATTATGGTCAAAAAAGTTGTAGATATTAGAAAAATAATGTTACATTTCCACAAAACGCTAACATTGGGGTTATGTTCCTCTAACGTTAACATTAGGTATAAGCTCCTATAACGTTAACGTTTAACGTTCACGTTAAAAAGAATATATCCAAACGTTACACATTATTGTAACGTAACGTACAAAAACGTACATTTTACGTTACGTTACACTATCGTTGACATCTCTATACACAGAAACTGAATTAAGAAATCAACTAATGGATTGCTAAAAATTTTAGGTCTGTCACAAAACAGAACATCTTCAAAGCTACTACGGTAAAGCGTGTTGAAGGCGGGGGCTGGGGAGGTGAGAAAGCCGGTTCCTGGGGAAAGCAGGTAGACAAGTGGATCAGAGATATCTGGGAGCTGCACCGGACCCAGCCTGCTCCTACTGTACAGTACACCTCAGTCATGCCAGACATTGATTCTTTGATGCAGGAATGGCCAGCAGATGTAAGTTAATCCATGCACCAAATCAACCTTTACAGGGATTGTCAAATGACCCCTAAAATTTTAAAGGTGCATGCCTAGTTCACAATCCGAATCCTACCCTTTAACCCGTAATCTGATCAATAATATAATATTGAAAAGTGTTTCATTCTAAAAATTTCTTAACAATTTCTGAAGCAGTCACAATTGAAAAAATCAACTCTTAAAGAGAAAATGAATACATGATGCATTCCATGATCAAGCAAAGCTTTTAAAAGTATCAGTTTGTGATTCTGACATCCCCCCCCTTCAAATGGAATTACGTTGACAGTTTCTTGAAATATGCTTTTTATTGTTTTTCTTTTACTCAAATGAAACACATGAACAAGTCTGGATTTCAATTAAAGCAAATCTAGATTATTTATAATTTGTTCAAGGTTGAGACATTACTGGAGGAGTTGGTTCTTCCTGATGCTAACCTGAGCATAAAGCTGGAGAGATTTGTGGATACAATCTGTTCTATTCTAGATATACCATTGTACAAGTAAGTTTAAATGGACTAAACACTAAATATCCAAGATATACCCTTGTACAATTAAGTTTAAAGTTACTGTACACTAAATCTCCTGGACATACCCTTGTACAAGTAAGTTTAAATTAACTGTACACATACTATCCTAGATATACCAATTTAGAAGCAATTCTTAAGGGATTGTACATGTAATATCCTGAATATAGTCTTGTACAAGTAAGTTTAAAGGGACTTTAGGCGTTACTCTAAGTGATTCTTCATTATAGAGAGATACGGTACCCTTAACATCTTTGACTGGTCAAAAATGCTTAAGATATCTATCATTCATTCTCTTAAATTTTTTTTAAGTGTGGTTGCTCAATATTGTGACTTTTGTTTCTCAAAAACAATGGAGGAAATCAGAATTAAACTGTTCAAGCTCGAAAATCGAGGATATCGTCTTTTCTTTAATTGTTTCTGTAGCATAAATATGCAAATCACTTCCATAGAGAAACCACAATTAAAAATAATTAAACAATATATATTTATTCAGTCATTTTTATTTACGTCGACTGCAGTCCCTTCAGGAAAGATTTCCAAAAATGCCCTTTGTTTAAATATTTTTCTGATTTAGATCTCGCCTACAATCTCTTCATCTACTCTTCTCTCTTTATCAAGCCTTCCAACATGCCCATCTCTACAATCCTAACATGCAACAAGACCCTTATAAACCAATATCTAGAGTTTAAATATAAAACCTCCAACATGCCCATCTCTACAATCCTAACATGCAACAAGACCCTTATAAACCAATTTCTCATAATTCCCATGAATATTTGTAAAAATAACATCCAACCGTTGTCTTGAATTCGTGCTTTAGCAAAACCACGTAAACCAAGAAGTGAGAAGTTAGAACTTTGAAACTTTATTCTTTATTCTCAAATTTCACAGAAAAGCAAACACGTGGCTAAAACATAGTAGTAAACTTGTATTTTAAATATAATATGAATAACAATATCATAATATAATAATAAAATCCATCACTGTTTTTTTTCCTTTCGCATTTATAAATATGTAAACCTATTTTTGCTTTCATCCATTCATTTTTGAAGAAATATTTGTAATATGATGGCACTGTTGACCACAAGATATTCAAAAGAAAATAACTTAGTCCGTATGAACAACAATATATAGGGATTAATGTTTGATCCACGGATTAACAACCTAAAATGTTTTACTTCAGAAAACAGTTTGCTATATTATAATTTTATTATAATCACGACATTATATACGTTAAATTAAAGTAAACACGTAATTAGTTAGTAGAAAGCAGTTGAGGTGTGTTAATGCTGGTTTTTGGGCCCCA